CATCACCCAACTATTCTGAAGATAAATCAACAGGGCGTTAGCTGACAGTGGTGCAAATTTTCAAAGTCGCTTTTATCCGGGAGATTTGGTTAACTTTATTGCTTGTACGGGTGACGGGTACCCTGAGTGTCAGAGCAACGTAAAAGCTAGCTTGTTAAATATATACCTTGTGATGGAGTCGATTTATGGGTTATATATGAAATCAAGATCGAGCTGGCAATACCGGAATCTAGAACCTAGGGTAGTGACGGGGAGATTCGTTCTGTATTCAGGAGACTCCCAGATTATCCGGGAGAGTCGACATGTATACAACAAGCCCAAATAAATGTTTACCCGACAACTTTGACTTCAGGAAAAGTTGTATGACTGAACACCGTTTTGTGTTGATTAGATCTATGATTTTGTAGAAAGAGAATGAAAGACACCAATGAAGATGAAGATTTGTTCGTTATCACAAACCAGAAGTCTTGAAGCATTTATCAGAAGGGAATCAAATAGTCTTTATACTTACCCAATAAACTAAAATGCACTCCTCTTCGATTGTATTAACTTGCAACTTGTTAACTTGTATTCTGCTCTTTCACATCCCAAAAAATCTTCACTGAATGTTTGCATATGTAAGGCGAGGTGCCAGTGGCGATTGAATGGGAGAAAATGACATTTTCTTACGTCGTTAATATTCCTAAATATATTCCATAACGTGCGAAATGCATGAAAATAGTATTCCAATCCGAAAGAACAAGTCTGTTGATGAAAAAAAGACCCGCAGTGAAAACGCAATCAACATATCTGTCACAACTAACACACTATATCGGAGGAGAATCGGGGCACATCAAGCGCATCCCAGTTCAGCGCTACGTTCAAGCTATTTCGGCCTAGAGTCTACATCTTGTGATTTTTAGTTCAAATATAAATTGATAATATATTGGTTGAAAAGAATTTGATTTTATAAATATTGTTCATTACTTAAAAGTAAAGGAAGTTATTTTTACACTCCCTTTTTTTATTTCAATTTTCGCAGACGGTAGGCCTATATGTAGGCCCTATCTGTCTTGCCTGAGTTCTATACTCTGGTAGTTGACACTACTCTGGTAGGACTAGTGTACATATTGTGATAGCAACAACACTGTCCTCTCTACGTTACTCGTTAATGCGTGGACAAGGGATGGGCCAGGGTTATTAGGGTATAAAATGAACCAATGTCCCCCACAACCGGCAGTTTTACAGTATTATTAAACCCCATTCTACCTATCATTTAGATATATTTTCTTGATTTAATTTGGTTAGATAAGAAAAGGAAGACAGAATGTGTCCCTCAATGTTCTAGGTTATTTCTGAACTCTGCGCGGAGCCTGGAGAACTATAACAAGGCAATCAAATATCAATAACGTGCAGCAGACGAGATAATTGACGCTCATTAGTTTACGTTGTCTGCGGACAAAGATCAATAACAGCGTCCGATGAGGTGAAATCCTGAGTCCATGTTGTGTACATATATCAGATGAACGCCGACAATGGTGATATTAAATAAATAGTGCAATAAAAAAGGGATATATGTTCTCAATCACAACATTTTCCTATATAGTGCGTCAGAAAAGCGTTGGTGAACGAGGTACTGCACATAGCTGCCACTGGGGGGGGGGGGGGGTGCTCTAGTCAAATGTTGCGTTTTCCTAAATTAAAAGAAACATCTTCTTGAGAAAATTCAGAATTTTTTATAGAAATTGGCGTTAATTCATTGCATTTCGATCCCTACAAAGAAAATTCAGCAGGCAATAGCCGAACTTTCTCCATTCATGACACATACAGCTGTACTCGCCTAGTGTAGAAATGGCACATGAAATACAACTATGTACCTCAAGTGGAGAAGGCCGTGGGGGGAGAGTAGGGACGTGGAGAAGGCTGCAGGGAGGTGTAAATCCGTGGGGAAGGCCGCGGGGAGGGGCAGGGACGTGGAGAAGGCTGTGGGGAGGGGCAGGGATGTGGAGAAGACCGTGAGGAGGGGCAGGG